AGTGACAGAGACATTCTTATTTTCTTTAATACATTTGCTGTTTACTTTTGTGCTTGTGATATGTAGAGTCCTCTAAAGCAGGAATTTGCAAAATATGGCTCTTGGACCAAATCCAGCCTGTGACTTGTTTTTTTATTTTTATGGCCCATGAACTAAGAATGTTTTTAAAGATTGTTTTACAAAAAGATCGTGCATCAGAAACTATATGTGGCCTACAAATTCTAAAATATTTACTATCTGGCCTTTTATGGAAAAAGTTTGCCAGTCGTTGCTCTGAAACATAGGGCCCAGGTGTAAGGGAGCCATCTTCACCCACACTGTCCCCAAGTGTCCAACACAGTGAGCCACAAACCTAGGGTCTTATCTGTGGTATTTTAGCTCCCTCTGCTGGGCCAATGTTTTTCACCAGTGCTGTAAACGCGAAAAAGTTCTTGCTAATTTCAACTTCATCTTATTAATTGATGATTGATTGGTTTCATTCACCGAGTCAGCCTATTGGAAGGGAAGACAGATTCCCATGTTTCACTAAGTTATACTGATCCACACACATCTCAAGGCTTGAAACCACTGACGGTCAGCCGACCAATTGTACAGCACGATGCTAGCCACAGATGAAAGTGTCAGCAATACGGAACCAATAGGAACATCATTACTCATTTGGGATGCAAGAAGTAGTGGAGAGGGAAAAGTGAATGATGATTCTCTTTTGCAGGAATGGTGGTTGTAGTAAAAGTGGAAAACCATGGACAGAAACGGCAAATTCAGTTTTCAACACCTTAGACCAATTTAAACGTCATCCTCCAGTATCATGGTAGTTTGAGCTAACATAGAACCCACAAACATTACCAACACCTGAAAATGCTGGATGAACTGTTATTAAATCCAGAATCAAGTTCAAAACCAAAGGGAAAACGTTACTTTCTAGAAACAAAGATGGGAATTATAGCCAGGATCATGGGGCTTATGATGGTTGGGTAAAGAATCAGACCCAGATATACGACCAAAGGCTAGGAGCTTGGGTTGTAATGATCAACTGGGATCTGGAAGAGCACCTGCTTCAGTGAATGGGTGAAATAATAATCCCATCAGCCCAGGGAATAAACAAGGAAAGTTTTATTCTTCCTAGAGATCTGTGGGAAGTGTTAGAATATGGAGTTGCATGAAAAATAAGGACTCCAACTCTACAATGTGTGAACACATATGGGTGTGGTGGAAAGATGTGCCAGCTCAGAAATTAAAGCTAAAACTGGTCCTGTCAATAAAATACCTGTGGTTCTCACAGAAGAAAATGTACAATTATTCTTTAGGGATATTTTGACATTCTAAAACACATAAGACACAGGGGAAAAAACAATTCCCCTGAAGATGAGTTCACAGACATAAATTTTGTCATTTCACACAAGGTAATAATGTATTATGAGAGAGAATCAGCAGAATCAAGAGCTAATAGAACAATTTAAAAGATGATATTAAATCAATATGTTTAAAATAATTAGAGTCAAGAAGCAATAGAAACCATAATCTAGAAGATAAAATGAAACAAGAACAAGGAAATTTGAACAGAGAACCAAACAGAAGTTTAGTAATAAAATCAAATAAAGTCATTGCAATTTAAAAATGCATTTAATGATTTAAACAGCATTTAGACACAGCTAAAGATATATTCATGAACTGAAAGATTATCTAAGGAAATAATCCAGAATGCAGCCCTGAGAGATAAAAAGATGGGAAATGTGAAATAGAGGATGGGAAATATGAAACAGAAGTTAAGAAATGTGAAGCTAGACTGAGAAGTCCAGCTTGTTTCTAGTAGGAATTCCTGAAGGTGATAATGAGAAAATGGAAAAGTGATAGTATTAGAAGAGATATAATGGCTAATAATATTTTAGAACAGATGAAAAATATGAATATTCAGATTTAAAAAGCACATGTAGTCTCAAGTGTAATAAACAATTAAATCTACAATTAGATATATCATAATGAAACTGCGACACAAATACAAAGAGAAAAATTTTAAAAGTAGTAAGAAAGAAAAAAATACCTACAAAAGAATAGCAGTTGGACATTTAGCAGCCTTCTCACTACCAACGGTAAAGGCTGGAAGACAATGGAATATTTTCAAAATGCTAAGAGAAAATATTATCTTCCTAGAATTCTATCCCACTGTAGAATCCCACATCAGGCAACACTGATAGCAAAATAAAGACATTTTCAGGTAAACAAAGACTAAGAGTTTATCAGTCACAGACCCTTATTGAAATAATTACTAAAAGCTAAACTTCAGGAAAAAGGAAATGGAATCTTGAATGAAAGAGTGGTGGAAAAGAAGCTATAAGTGAGCAGAGGAGCATACGGGTAGAAAACATAGGTGGATTAGTCAGCTTGGGGTGCCACAACAAAACACTATAGCTGAGTGCAGTGCCTGTATATGTCTATAGTCGCAGCTACTTCGTAGGCTAAGACCGGAAGATTGCTTGAGTCCAGGAGTTCGAGACCAGCCTGGGCAACATAGTGAGACCTTGCCTTTTCAAAACAAAAACAAAAACCAACCACAGACTGGGTGGTTTGAACAACTGAAATTTATTTTTTCACAGTACTGGAGGCTGGAAGTCTGAGATCTGGTTGCCAGCATGGTCAGCTTCTAAGGGGTGCTCCTTTCCTGGCTTGCAGATGGCAACCTTCTAGCTGTGTCCTCACAAAGACTTTCTTTGGTGCATGCAGAGAGAGAGAGGAGAGGAGAGACAGAAAAATCTCTTCTCTTTATAAGGGTACTAAGCCCATCAAAGGGGCTTTTCCCTTATGTATTAGTCTGTTTTCATGCTGCCAATAAAGACATACACAAGACTGGGTAATTTATAAAGAAAAAGAAGTTTAATGGACTCACACAGTTCCAGGTGGCTGGGGAAGCCTCAGAATCATGGCAGAAGGCAAAAGGCACATCTTACATGGCGGCAGACAAGACAGAATGAGAGCTAAGTGAAAAGGGAAACTGCTTATAAAATCATCAGATCTTTTGACTTTTTTACTACCATGAGAACAGTATGGGGGAAACTACCCCATGATTCAGTTCTCCCACCGAGTCCCTCCCACAACATGTGAGAATTATAGGAGCTAAAATTCAAGATGAGATTTGGGTGGGGGCACAGTCAAACCATATCACCTTACGACCTCATTTAAACCTAGTTTCTTCCCAAAGCCTCCATCTTCAAACACCATCATATGAATTTTGAGGGAACATAAACATTTACTTCACAGTACTAGGTAAATCTAAATAAGCACTAATTGTAGGAAAATGGAATAAAAACAATGATGAACAATGTCAGTAGAAACAAAACAAATATTTGACAACAACAGCAGAATGGTGGTAGAAGTTCAAGTTTTCTAAGGTCATTGTACTATTTGATGGGAGACTGACATTTTATTTACCCGTGGACATTGTTAAGTGAAGAATTCACATTAAAAAGTTGTGAGCAACTTCTAAAAGAATAAAATAACAAATCGAACATCCAAACAAGTAAAATAAAAAGGGGAAATAAAGCAAACTTAATCCACAGATAAGTTGGCAAATTGCAGCCCAGGAGCCAGATCTGGCCCATCACCTCCTTTAGAGCAGACAGCCCACGACTAAGCATGGTTTTACATTTTAAGTGGTTAAAAAAATCAAAAGAAGAACATTTCATGACACATCAGAATTATCTGAAATTCAAATGTCAGTGTCTATAAGCGAAGTTTTATTGGAACACAGCTACACTCATTTCTTCACATCTTGTCTGGAAAAGTGACAGAGCCCGTATGGGCATAAAGCCGAAAATATTCACTTTTTTGGTCCTTTACAGAAAAAGTTTGCATAGTCGGGCATGGTGGCTCAAGCCTATAATCCCAACACTTTGGGAGGCTGAGGCAGGCAGATCATGAGGCCGGGAGCTCAAGACCACTCTGACCAACATAGTGAAACCCTGTTTGTACTAAAAATACAAAAAAATTAGCCGGGCGTGATGGCATGCACCTGTAATCCCAGCTACTCAGGGGGCTGAGGCAGGAGAATCTCTTGAACCCAGGGAGGCAGAGGTTGCAGTGAGCTGAGATCGTGCCACTGTACTTCAGCATAGGCGATAGAGTGAGATTCCGTCAAACGAAACAAAACAAAACACCCAAAAACATAAAGTTTGCCTACTTCTGCAATAGAAACTAGGAAAACAGAAAAATGCTGCAGCAAGATGTTCAATCGTGACCAAGTGTGCTAGTGTTGGGAGTCATCAACATCATCATCATTGTGACTACAATCAAGAATTAATTTTGAAGCCTATTTCCTGAAAAGCTTTGTTAAGCGAAAAAGTCCAACACACAGTTGGAAATACAGACTGGAGGGAGGAGTGAAATCAGAGCTGTCCTCTCAGTTCTTTTGGGGTCCAGCTTTGCCCCTGCACTGTCTAGGAACCACCTAGGGGTCACAATATTTCACCATGGGCTGCAGCATCCCGGACTATTAGGCTGACCTGGGCCGCGCTGAGGGGCTGCAGCATCCCAGACTGTTACGGTGGCTGGGATTGGCAATCATGAATTAATTTTGAAGCCTATTTCCAGTGTTTGTTGATGAAAGTATTCACACAGTTGAAAGATAGACTGGAGGGAGGAGCAAAATCAGAGCTTCGTCTCTCAGTCTTGGGGTCCAGCCTTGCCTCCTGCAATTGGGTCTAGGAAACCACCTAGGGGCCACAATATTCTACTAGCGGCTGGCATCCCTGGATTATTAGGCTGACTTGGGCTGCGCTGAGGGGCTGCAGCATCTCAGACTGTTACGTGGCCTGGGCGGCGCTTGAGGCCATGTGGCATCCTGACTGTTATGGTGGCCTGGGCTACTCCTGGGCCGCGCTGAGGGGCTGCAGCATCCCAGACTGTTACGGTGGCCTGGGCCGCGCTGAGGGGCTGCAGCATCACGGACTGTTACGGTGGCCTGGGCTGCGCTGAGGCCCACAGTCCTGACCACTTCTCCCCTTAATTTGCGGGGTGCCGTCATGGTCACTTCCTGTGTCCAGATGCTGGTGGGCTTCTCGGGCCTCATTGGCTTTCTCATGGGTTTCATCGGTCCCTTGGCCATTGCTCCAACTATCTCCCAGGTGGCCCTGCCCCTCTTCGATTCTGCAGGCAATAATGCCAGGATCCACTGGGGGATTTCTGCCATGTAAGTGCTCCCTGGGGAGGGAGTGCCATGTACGTTCTCTTTGGTGGAGAGTCACCCAGAAAGAATAATGGAGGTCCTGGATATTGGTAAACTCTTGTGGTTTACAAAGACTTTCATGAATGTTGTCAAACCTTAAAAAGCATCAAAGTTGTTACCTATAATTCATCATCACTGCTCATTATTATTATCCTATTTGTATTCACAACGAGGCGGAGGTTTCAGTGAGCCAAGATTGCACCACTGCACTCCAGCCTGGGCAACAAGAACAAAACTCCGTCACAAAAAAAAGAAAAAGAAAAAAAGAAAAGAAAAAGAAAAGAAAGGAAAACAGATTCACAAGTGTTGGGAAAAGCTGAGTGTTGGGAGAAGCTGAGGCAGGGCTTGCATGTCTGACATAATATAAAAGAGTCTTGGAACATGTCTAGGGTCCAGGGTCTAAAACCCCTTGTGGCCTTTGGAACACCAGGCTCTGTGCTAAAGGGTGGAAGGCTACCCTGATGCACCATAATCTAAGCCCAGGGCATAAAATCCCTCATGGCTTGGATAGAATCCAGGGCTCATGGCTCTGGAATGTGTCTAGACTCCCTGGCTCCTTGCTCTCCCAGGATCAACTATATCTTGAGTTAAAAGAACCTGCTTTCCATTATCCCAAGTAGCAGAGCAAATGCTAAACTATCACAGCTGTAAATCATGTGCTTAATGCAACATGCCCTTTCGACCTCCACATTCTCACCACCTGTTTCTCTGTTGGATTACCAATAAATAGCATGGGCTTCTAGAGCTCAGGGCCTTCGCAGCTTCCACAATCGCGATGGCCCCCTGGTCCCACTTGTCTCTCTCAAACTGTCTTTTCTCAATCCTTTGACTCCACCAGACTTTGTTGCCCCCATGACTTGGTGTTGGGTCTGATCACCCCAACAACAGGTTTGGGGAGAAGGGCATGGGCCTCTGTAAGGGGCTATGATTTTGTCTTCCACATCTGGCCTTCTTTGCCTGTGGCGATTCCACAGGCAGATATTCAATACTGGCCCCAGCAGAGCTCTTCGGTGGCTTTCTGAAGTGTAGGGGGGAGTTTCATTACCTCTGACCCAGCCCCGCATCTGAGCTCCAACCCTGAATATTCACATGTGTCCTGACCAGCCCTGTCTGATGTCCCAAAGGCACCTCACCCTCAGTGGCCTCTGTGAAGCTCAGCCCATGCCCCCATCCTGAGTTCTCCTGCAATCCTTGTCTTACTGGGCCCACCCAGTCACCCATGTTATCCGTAGCTTCTTGCTCTCCCACACCCTCACCAGCGGGTTCTATTTTCTCAATACCCCCACTTCCTTCCTCTCCTCTTTTCTGCATTTCCAGTCCCATGGCTTCATCATCTCACTTGGATGCACAATGACCTCTTACATTCTCTGTTTCCAGGATCTTGCCCATGTCATTCTACCACACGGCTGCCCAAAGATCTTTCTAGAACCTAATTCTGATGAGATTAGTCTCTGCTTAAAATCTCTTCATGGCTCTCCATTTTTCACAGGAAAGCTCCATAAGATCAGCAGAAATTCTTCAGGATGAAACTTTCTAAGGTGACTGAAATGATAGTGTCTAATTGTATTGTTTCCACATATCTCAGTGGACTCTGCAGTTCAGCTTAAGTCTTGTGAGCTTTTGGAGACAATAGAGACCCTGCTACCCACACTCTACCTTGCATTTCACTTTTTCTTTTCTTCTTCTTCTTCTTTTTTTTTTTTTTTTTTGAGATGTCACCCAGACTGGAGTGCAGTGGCACGATCTTGGCTCACTGCAACCTCCACCTCCCAGATTCAAGTGATTCTCCTGCCTCAGCCTCCTGAGTAGCTGGGATTACAGGCATCTGCCACCAAGCCTGGATAATTTTTGTATTTTTGTGAGATGGGGTTTCACCATGTTTGTCCAGGCTGGTCTTGAACTCCTGTGGCCTCAGGTGATCCACCCACCTCGGCCTCCCAGGAGTGGGATTACAGGCGTGAGCCGCGTGCCTCCACTTGCATATTTATAGCTCCATCAGTGGTTCTGACGTGCAGCCTAGTAGAGATGGGGTTTCACCATGTTGTCCAGGCTGGTCTTGAACTCCTGGCCTCAGGTGATCCACCCACCTCGGCCTCCCAAAGTGCTGGGATTACAGGCGTGAGCCACCGTGCCTCCCTTGCATTTTCTTATAGCTCCATCAGTGGTTCTGACGTGCAGCCTGGTGGCATCATGTCTTTCTAGCATCAGATCTGCCCACCTCTGTCCTCCTGCATGGCTCTGGCACACAGCTGTAGTTGGTATCTGTGAGCAAATAGCTGAGCCAGCATCTACCCAAAAAGCAGATTCTATATTCTTGACACCATGGACTCTTTGATATTTGCCCAAGATTTCAAAGCCTTTGGCACAGGCGAGGGGAACGTTTTTCCACAGGAGGACCACTGAACCACGCCAAAACATAGCTGGAGAGGAACAAATAAGTATAAAGCAGCAAATATTTTCTTTTCTGCTAAAGGGAGTGCATTTCATGCAGAACATAAAACTATATTCAATATACAGAACAAACATTTATTTGATGTATTATCTCTAAAATAAGGCCCTTAAAAGAGAGGAAAGAAAAATACATGGACACAGCAGGCTACAAATCAATTAGAAGGCTTAGATTAACCCTGAAGGCTTAGATTAACCCGTGCAAAGACCACTTTATTTATGGACTCACACCTCCCCCTCGTGGCCTTTTAAGGTATTGCTTTGTGTTGCATCTTTGCAACGATGAGCTCTGGCTGCTTGGTTCTCCACGTGAGTCGTGAGTCGGGGGACTTGAGGCCCAAGGCCAGAGATCTCCTGCCACTTCTCTGGGTTACCACGGCTCCCTGCCCAACAGTCAGTTCTGAGGCCATGATAAGTGGACTGCATAAGTGGAATTGGTGGGTGACTGCAATCTTTATGAGACAATCAGCAGATCCAAAGGGCAGTGGTTGATCCTCACAAATTGTTCCCATAGTTAATTGTTAAGATTATAAACAAAACAAAATGTTCTTTTGATGTGGTAAGAATTTTTTTTCTTTTTTTTTTAATTTGAGATGGAGTCTCGCTTTTGTCACCCAGGCGGGAGTGCAGCGGCGCTATCTCGGCTCACTGCAACCTCTGCCTCCCGGGTTGAAGCAATTTTCCCGTCTCAGCCTCCGAGTAATTTTTTTATTTTTAGTAGAGATGGGGTTTCACCGTGTTGGCCAGGCTGGTCTTGAACTCCTGAGCTCAGGCAATCTGCCTGCCTTGGCCTCCCAAAGTGCTGGGATTACAAGCATGAGTCACCTTGCCGGGCTTAGAGTTTTTTTTTTTTTTTTTTTTTTTTTTTTTTTTAATTTAATTGCCATAAAAGACATATAAAATTTACCATCATAACCATTTTAAAATGTACAGCTCAGTACTGTCAAGTATGTTCACATTGTTGTACAACAGATCTCCAGAACTTTTTCATCTTACAAAATTGAAACTGTATTAGAATGTCTTTGCAGGGCTCCCCAACTCCTATGCTGCAGAGCGGTACTGCTCTGTGGCCTGTTAGAAACTGGGCTGCACAGCAGAAGGTGAGCGGTGGGTAAGTGAGCATGACCGCCCGAGCTCCACCTCCTGTCGGATCAGCAGCAGCATTTGATTCTCATAGGAGCGTGAACCCTTTTGTGAACTGCACATGCAAGGGCTCTAGGTCGCGCGCTCCTTATGAGAATCTAATGTCTGATGATCTGAGGTGGAACAGTTTCATCCTGAAACCATCCCCCACCCCAACCGGTCTGTGGAAAAATTGTCTTCCCTCCAAAAAGGTTGGGGACCACTGTTTTAAATGCTGGGAGTAGACACAAATGAATGAGAAACAGATTCAAGAACTATCTAAATCATCTACTGTGGCTGGGCACTGTGGCTTACACCTGTAATCCCAGCACTTTGGGAGGCTGAGGCAGGAGGATTGCTTGAGGCTGAGCTCAGTTCAAGACCAGCATGGGACCTTATCTGTACAATTTTTTTTTAATTAGCCAGGCATGGTGGCACATGCCTGTAGTCCCAGCTACTCAGGAGGCTTAGGCAGGAGGATCACTTGAGCACTGGAGGTGGAGACTGCAGTGAGCCATGATCATGCCTCTGCACTCCAGCCTGGATGACAGAGTGAGACCTTGCCTTAAAAAAAAAAAAAAAAAAAAAAAAATCATCCATTAACAATAGAGTCATGATAAAATATTCAAACAAGGACATTTACAAACAGCCCTAACTTTGGAGAATGATACCAAGTGCCTCAAAGTCAGGAGTCTTTTTTTTAAGACTTAAATTTTTTAGAGCCACTGCACTCCAGCCTGGGCAACAGAGTGGGACTCCATCTCAAAATAAACAAATAAATAATACTAATGAAACATTTTACAGACGGAGCTTTAGAAATGTAAATCTCATTATGTCACTACCTTGCTTAAAACCCCTCTACTGAGGGTTTCTCTCATCTTTGGATTTTTTATTTTTAATACACATAAAATTTACCATCTTAACCATGTCTGAGTGTACGGTTGGGAAGTGTTAAGTACATGTACATTGTTATGCAACCATCATCACCATACATCTTGTAAACTCTTTTCATCTTGAAAAATTAAAACTCTGTCCCCATTAAACAACAACTTCCCGTTTCTCCCTCCCCTGGCTTCTAGCAACCACCATTCTCCTTTTGGTGAATTTGACTACTCTGGGTACCTCATATGAGTAGAACCATAAAGGATTTGTCTTTTTGTGATGGGTTCATTTCACTTAGCATAATGTCTTCAAGGTTCATCCATGCTGTAATGTGTACCAGAATTTCCTTCTTTTTTCTAGGCTGAATAATATTCCACGGTAGGAATATGCCATGTTTTGCTTATGTCTTACCTTTGGATTTTAGTCTGACTCCTTTCCATGGCCCCCAAGGCCCTGCAGGACATCCCATCTCCTCCCTCTCTCCCTCTGTTACTGACCCCCAGGCACAATGATTTTCCTTTTGCTCTCAAACCACCCAAGCTCCTCCTACCACAGCGTCTGCGTTTGCTGTTTCCTCTCTAGAATTCTCTGAAAACTAATCTTCATGTCCATGACTCCTTCTCTTCCTTTGGGTCTCAGCCAAGCTCTCACCTCCTGGGCAGACCTTTTCTGACTGCCCTCCAAAGAGCCTCCCATCCCAGACACCCTCTGCCCTGTGACTTATTGTGGAAGACCGATTGCTATCAGAAATTGTCTTCCTTCTTTATTAGCCTGCCTGTTTGCTAACTGTCTCTTCCGAAGATAATAGTAGCTCCATTGACAAAGTCACAGGCAACGTGGATATGGAATATATGTGGTGTAAATCAAGCACCCTGTCGGTGAACTCATAATGCTGTTTACAAAACCCGGGGGGCTGGGTGCAGTGGCTCATGTCTGTAATCGCAGCACTTTGGGAGGGTAAGGTGGGCTGATCACGTGAGACCAGGAGTTCAAGACCAGCCTGGTCAACATGGTGAAGCCCCATCTCTACTAAAAATACAAAAATTAGCCGGGCATAGTGGCACGTGACTGTAATCCCAGGTACTCAGAAGGCTGAGGCATGAGTATCCCTTGAACCTGGGAAGTGGAGGTTGCAGTGAGCCAAGATGGCACCACTGCACTCCAGCCTGGGTGACAGATTGAGACTCTATCTCCGGAAAAGAAAAGCAAAAAAAAAAAAAAAACTCAGGGTCCTAATTACCAGGCTGGACTCAGGAGACCTGGTGTTAGGCAAGTGTGACTACCCTGTGGCCTTGGGCCCCTTGTTCCCTCTCTTTGGGCTTTGATTTTCTCTTCTGTAAAATGAGAGGTTTGAACAAGGCACCCTCCAGGTTTCCTTCCTGCCCTGGCCCTCTAGGATATATTAAAGGTGTATGTATATCAGGTGCTGTATGGCCACAGAAGTGTTGTGGTCAAGGTGTGGCTGTAGGAGGTAAAATGAGCAAGATTCCTATCTTTGGGGAGTAGATCTGGTAGGGAAATAGAAACACATGATCTGAGTGGACAACAGCATGAGCACCCGCAGAGATGTAGCATCATACAAGAGAACTTTACACCTCTGTCCCTTACAAAAAACCTCTGCCCTTTATTGAGCGCCGGCTATACTCAGTGCTTACTATTGTTGTAAGCACTTCACCTACAGGACGTGACTTAGCTTTGTGAAGTAGGTGTTACTAATCCCCTGTGGCTCACATGGAGGCTGGCACTCAGAGAGATTAGGTAACGTGCCCCGAAGTCACAGAGCTAGTTAGAGGCGGAACTGGGATCTGCTTTCAAACCTCCATTCTGAAGCACTGGGCCACTCTCCCTTGATGGGCGATCTCTCGCCTTGCTGTCCAGGCTTCCTAGGGGAGAAGCATCAGAGCCAGGACGTGAAGACGTGAGAGCAGCAGAGTGGCGAGGTGAGGGCACAGGCCGGGTGCCCAGCTCACACCTTCATCCTTTCCCAAGCCCCATTTGGGAGCAGAGGGAGCGGTGTGGGGTGAGGTGGTGCTGCTCCTGCAGTGGGCAGAGGCCTCGGGGGCGCCTGGCCTGGCTGGTGCTCCTCACTCTCTGTGCCTGGTTGCTGCAGGTGGGGAGTCGGGCAGTGATTGTCACCGTGGGCCGTGTGCTGCTCCTGATGGGCGCGTTTGGGAAGATCAGGGCTGCGTTTGCCACCATCCCCACCCCCGTGATCGGAGGCATGTCCCTGGTCGTGTTTGGGGTCATCACCACTATGGGGATCTCCAATCTGCAGGTGAGGCGAGCGAGGTGCTCTTGGGACGCCAGCAGCAGCGCCTCTCCTGAGAGGAGCCGGTGGGATTGAGATGGATGGGATGGGGCTGGGGCAGAGGAGGAGGAGAAGGGAGTCCTGGGTCCCAGAAACCACGTTGGCCCCTAAATGGAGCAAAGAAACAGCCAGAAGCATCCAGACCTCTGCAAACCAGTGGTGAAGGTGCTGACCGCCCTGCCTGCCTCTGGGTCCTGTCTCCCGCAGTATGTGGACATGAACTCGTCCCGGAGCCTCTTTGCCTTTGGCTTCTCCATCTACTGTGGGCTCACTATTCCCAACTGGGTAAGCAAGAACCCCGAGATGCTCCAGACAGCTGACTGTTCCCTGCCCTCTGGACTGTCTCTGCTCCAGGGGCAGAGCCAGCATGGCCGCTGGTCCCCGTGGATGTGTCGCTTTGTCTCCACTCCAGGGATTCTCCAGCTGCACCAGGTCGCTCAGGTGCTGCTGACCATGGGCATGTTCGTTGGTGGATATCTGGGTTTTCTTCTGGACAACACCATCCCCGGTAGAACTCACCTCGCCCCTGAGGTAGGGCAGGGTAGGGCAGGCCTGAGGTAGGGCAGGGGTAAACATGGGGCCGCTGGCTCTAAGGCGACGAGACCGATTCTCTTCTTCTATAAAGAGGCAGAGGGTCCTGCTGGCCTCTCCATCTCCTCCCTCTCTAGGCCCGCCCCACCAGGCTGGTGTTTGGGAGCAGTGAGGGGCACCCCCACTCCTCCTGCCCCTCCTCTGTATCCCTGCCGCTCCAGCCTCATCCAGCTCAGGGAACCGTGGCCCAGTGTTGTCTACCCAAGCAGGAGGAAAGCTGAATACATAGCCAGCAGTCCTCTGTGGTGTCACCACACACTGCTGTCCCCTGCTCTGTCCACACATGTCCCCTAGCCCCACCTTCCCACAGCTCTTCAGACTCCCTTTTAGGAGTTGTGGGGTGGGGACTGAAGAGCCCTTCAAGGTAGGGAAGGGAGTACTGGGCCAAGGACCTAAGTCCAGGTGTGGCAGGACTGGACCTGGCCTGCTCAGACCCCAGACTACTTGTCTACCAGAGTAGACTGCAGGCTGCTGGGAAGTTGAGGTCACCGCTGCTTTGGGCTTCTCCAGAATCTTCCATTGTTTCTCCAGGGGACTTAATCTGGATTTCTTTTTCTTTTCTTTTCTTTTTCTTTTTTTTTTTTTTTTTGAGACAGGGTCTCACTCTGTTACCCAGGCTGGAGGGCAGTGATATGACCACAGCTCACTGCAGCCTCAGCCTCCTGGGCTCACTGACTAATTTTTGATGGACTCTGGGTACTACTAGCAAGAAAAAATAGCCATGCCCTCCTTCAACACCTCCTCTCCCACCAAGAACTCTCTCCTTGCTTGGCCAAACCCTCTCCTCAGGGAGGAAGATGGGGAGACACGTTGCTGTAGGGATGGGGGAAGGGGGAACATCTGTGATTGTTCCAGGAGCCCCTTCTAGCAGGGGCTCCTCTGCCCTCCATACTGGCTACCCATCACCGCTTGGCACTGGGTGGGGGGAGTCAGTCCCTGTAACCTACTTTCCAAGGCTTGGTGATTTTCCATCTCCCATCAGAATGGGCGGGAAGGGTTTGTGTACTCAGAGAGGGGCAAGTGTGTGTATTCTTGTGTGTTAGCAGTGGGGGCCCTAAGTGGGTCTAAAAGCTGCACATCCCTGTTCTCAGGGAGGGAACACATCAGGAGTGCTGACCCCATGGAGATGGGTGTGTATGGGGAGGCAGGGCTGTGAAGGGCACAGATGCTCTCACCATGGTCTCAGACTTCTTCCTTTCCCTCCCAGAGCTCCTTCAATAAAACCTTCAAGCAGCCTTTCATGTCACAGGTTTCTTTCAATCTCTGAGTGACCTTGGAAATGGGAGGGGTCACCAGGTGGGGAGGAGGGGCTTATGACCTGGCTTTGGGATATAGCTATGGAAGCATTTCTCCAGGTGGGAAAGTCAATCGGTGAGATTTCTTAAGGGAGGCGTCCTGAGACTGTGAGCCAGAACTGGGAACGTGCAGTGAGATCCACCTGACCCCAGATTCCCTTCAGTTCTGCAGTGTGGTGGTAACAGGAGCCAATGGGGAGGAATTGACAGGGAAAAGGGAGATGACTTCAGTGTGTGCAGTTTCAAGCACACACATGCAGGGATGTTTATTCCGACCCTCTGTGTTGGGTGATGGGTTCAGAGTGGCCAACCCTGAAGACCAGTCCTGGGGTGCATTGGACCAATGCCCTGATGTCCCCACCACTGACTGTCAGGCACCTCAGTGAGAAGGGCAGACGTTCCCTGTCTCCTGGGACAATTCTAGTCACTGTCGCTCCAGAGACAGTGGACCCAGGAGGAAGGAGGAGTGTCACTGAGCATGCAGAATTTCAGTCTTTAAGGGGGCGGGCAAGTGAAGTAGGGGAAGGAGTGTAATACAGCTGAATTCTAGAATCCAATGGACCAGAGTGATAATAATACTTCTAAGAACAATCCTGAATGATGCCCAGTGAGTGAATTTGCCCAGCCAGTCCTAGATCCTGGAATATTACAGGAGTAGTCATGCCTACGTGCTTGGGAGTTGAGTGAGAAGTAAATAAAAGGAAGCAGGAGCATGACAGATAATATCCCCAAACATGATCCAGGCCAACAATACCTTTAAAAGCTTCTGACTCACAGATGAATCCTAAAGGGAAGGGAGGATCTTGCAGGTCCTTGAAGCCTGGCATCCCTGTGACCTGGCAGGCTCTTGTAGAGTGCTGTGTCTGTGGCACCCCCAGCTCTGCCCCATCAGGAGATGGTCACAGCCTCTAAATCCTCTGCTGAGCCACACATGAGATCTCTGTGTAATTAGTCAGGGTCCTTTTGGCTGCAAATGAGAAAAGTTTAACTAAAAAAATGGGAAGTGGGTGGGATTTATTGGTTCTTGCAGTGGGGAAGGAAGGAAACTGGGAGAGCTAGAAGAACCAGGGCCTAAAGGATGAGAACCCAGGCTTCTCTCCTCCCTGTCTCTCTCCACCTCCCTTTGCTGCTTCTCCTTGCCTGCTGACCTCATCCCTCTCCTGGTGTAGCTGAGGATGATGCCCTCCTAGCCTTCCACTGTCACTGCAAAGGCAGAAGAAAATCACAGCCTTCCACTGGCTCTACCAGAAACATCCCAGGGAGAACAATGGTAGGTCAGAGTATCCTATGCAAAGAAGTTTTGTAAGTGCCGGGCTTGAAGACTTTATCTTTCCTGTCCCTGTCATCATTTTCTATGGCTGCTAAAACAAATGACCACAAACTGCGTGTCTTGAAAGAATACAAATGTATACATTCCTGGAAGAAATGCAGCTCAGAGGTCTAAAGTGAGTCTTACAGGGACAACACCAAGGTGTGGGCAGGGCTGCTTCCTCCTGGAGGTTCCAGGGGACAATCCATTTTCCAGCCTTTTCCAGTGTCTAGAGTCTAGAAGGGGCCTGCATTCCTTGGCTTGTGGTCCCTTCCCCATCTTAAAAGCACAATACTCCCACCTCTGCTTCCCTTGTCCCATCTTCTGTTTCCTTTGACCTGTGTCCCTCCCTTTTATAAGGACACTTTGATTACATTTAGAACCCACCCAGTTAATTTAGGATAATCACCCCATCTCAAGATCCTTAATGTAGTTATTAATATATCTGCAAAAGTCCCTTTGCCATAGAAGGGACTTTTGCCATAGAAGGTAACAGTCACAGGTTTTGGTGTTTAGGACATAAATATCTCTGGGGGCCATTATTCAGCCTACTATAGTCCTTAATTTAAAATCTTATACAGGGCCAGGCGCTGTGGCTCACACCTGTAATCTCAGCACTTTGGGAGGCCATGGCAGGAGAATTGCTTGAGCTCACGAGTTGGAGAGCAGTCTTGCCAACCTAGCAAGACCTCATCTCTACAAAGAATACAAAAATTGGCTGGGCATAGTGGTGTGTACTTGTACTCCCAGCTATTCGGGACACTGAGGCGGGAGGATCGCTTGAGCCCGGGAGGTCCAGGCTGCAGTGAGCACCTGCACTGCACTCCAGCCTGGGTGACAGAGCAAGACCTTGCTCAAAAAAAAAAAAAAAAAAAATCCTATACAGTAGCCTCCCCTTATCCTTGGTTTCTCATTCCCTGGTTTAGGTTACCTGCAGTCAACTGAGATCCAAAAATATTAAACAGAAAATGTCAGAAATAAATAATACGTAAGTTTTAAATTGAGTAGCCTGATGAAATCTCTCACTACCCTGCTCTTTCCCACCCAAGACTTGAATCATTCCTTGGTCTAGCTTCTCTACGTTGTGGAGGATACCCGCCCCCCTTAGTAGCTGTCTTGGTGATCAGATTGACTATTGAGGCATTGCAGTGCTTGTCCTCAGGTAACCCTTACTTGAAAATATTATGATATTGTTATAATTGTTGCATTTTATTATTAGGCATTTTGTTATTAGGGATGCCTAATTCATAAACTTTGTCATAGGTATGTATGTACAGGAAAAAACAGAGTCCATATAGGGGTTTGGTACTATCCTTGATCTCCGGCATCTGCTAGGGGTCTTGGAATGTAGTTCCCAAGGATAAGGGGGAACTACTGTATTGGTTACAGCCTTAGTCTGTTTGGGCTGCTATAACAAAATACAGTAAAAACCGAGTGGCTTATAAACAACAGAAATGTATTTCTTGTGGTTCTGAGGCTGTGAAGTCCAAGATCAAGGAAGGCACTGAGAGATCTGGTGAGAGTCTGCGTCCTCACAGATGAGCACCTTCTCACTGTAACCTCACAAGGTGAGGGAGAGGGGGATCTCTCTGGGGCCTTGGTTGTAAGGCCAGTAATTCCATTCACGTGGACTCTGCCCATGACCTAATCACCTCTCAAAGACCCCCACCTCCTAATACCCTCACAGTTAGGATTTTAACATACAAATTTTGGGTGGACACAAATATTCAGATCATAGCATTTCCTTTATAGTATGGCAGCTCTTCCTTAAGAAAACAAGGCTGAAGATTTTCTGCACTTTGGGAAATTGATGGGCACAGAGATCGAAGCCTGGTTACAGGGTCACTTTCACACTTTTATTCATTTATTTTTTTTTTAATAGAGAGATAGGGTCTTGTTGTGTTGCCCAGGCTGGTCTCCAACTCCTGGGTTCAAGCTGCCCTCCTTCCCCTCCTAAAGTGTTGGGATTACAGGCATGAACCACCGTGCCCAGCCTTCAAAAAAAATTGTATTTTTAATTCTAACTTCACACTTTTAAACACACTGCCCAGAGTCCACAGTATTCTTGCTTTTATGGAAGCTATCTTCCTTATGTATACCCTTAGTTGATGAAAAGTCATGTTTTTTTTTTTTTTTTTTTTTTTTTCACTGCTTGCTAGTGAAGTTTCTGAACAAATTCTGCTCTTTTGAAGCAGTTTTTCTTCCCTAATATATTTTATGTTGATTATATAATGTATCCAATTTGTTCCTAGGAGACATTTTGCAGTCTTATCCCATGGAAAAATTGACAATTATTTTTATGTAATCTGTGATAAGCCATTCCTCTACACATTTTTTCTTTTTGTTATATAGTTAGATAACATACTTATGTGAAATGTAACCTTTGCAAAACTCTACTGGAAGCTGACTAACAAAACTAATACTTTACTTCAGGATAGTGAGGAATGGGGAAGAACTTTAATTCCAGATCCTACAGGACATCTCTACTGTGCTTTTCCTTTGAACCTCACACCATTGGATTTTCTACCTATGCACCTTTTTGTTGTTGGCATCTACAGACCACCCTCCTTCTCTGAGGATGTTAGTGTGTTGGTCACAGTTCCTGTCTCCAAAATTACTGTCTTCATAATTGGGGGCTTCATCTCCACAGAGCTCATCCTTCCCACACCTTGGCCTCTAGTTCCTTGAGCTCCATGATCTGGCCCTTTTGATAGCGGCAGGAGGCAAATTCCTAGACAGACAGGG